AGGCTGGGAATTTCAAAGGGGCCTAAGGATCTCAGTAGCCACTAAAAGCCATTGAAATTCACTGAGAGGAGGGCACTTAACTCAAGTAGTCACCTTGGAAAACCCCAGCCTTTACTGGTGCGACTGAACAAGAAAAGTTTTTCACGTGAATGTTTTAAGATTAGGTATTTATTAACTGGTGTTTGCTTAACTAACTGTATCTACTAATGTTAGGTCATTGTGCTTTCACAGTCATTTGATGTACTGTGGGGTCAATAGACGTATATATTTATTGGTAATTCAGTATTGTGAGCACAGGTTCATGAGATTTATTCTTCCTGATAGGGCCTTAATGTTGAATTGATGTATCTACCTGTATCTCATTTTAAGGAATATTGAAAGAGGTTACTGTGGTCATGAGAAAGAACTCACACAAAAACTATCCAACTTTGTCATGTAATGGATGTCTCCCTTCCAGCTCATTAGCCCTGAATGTGCAATTCCTTCATGACCAAATCTCACCATCCTTACAGAGCCCTCCCTTAGGCAAATCTCTCATTTCATTCAACAGGAGCATAGCCTGCGTAAGCATTGACAGATTTGGCCCTCAGTGAATACTTATTTTATAGAGAGATGTCTAAGCACAGAACTAGGAATGAGAAACCTTTGAATGAATCATCAGTCTTCCCATCTATAAAATGGGGATAATAATGTTTAGTTATCTAGTTAAACTACAGAGGTGTTTAGGAATTAATTAAATTAAATTAAATATTTATAAAGTGCTTTGAAGGTGCCAAGTAGCAAACATCTATAAAATATTTATTATAGGAAAGCTGATCTAACTGCATAGATACATTTATTAACATTTTTCTGGATATAGCTTGCCTTTGTTTCTCAATACTATTGTCTCCCCCCAGCTTAATTTGGGGACTTGTGAGCATTTAGGGCCTGATTCAGTTCCCACTGAAGTCAGGAAAAAGACTTTAATTGATTTCAACAGCAGTTGCTCAGCAGTTATGGGGGGGAAAGGTATATATTTAGGTACTTATTTTATGAAACCATTTAAAAAACTCAGCTATAAAAAACTGCAGAAGTGCATCTGTTTATCTAGCGGCAATTCTTTGTTTATCACATTCAAAAGTTGAGAAATTAGGTTTTGTACACAGTTGGCCTACTTCTCTCACCGCAGTTTTAACTTAGAGTGACTAACTTCACTCTATTTAATCTATTTGTTTGATCCAACTATCTAATCTAGTTTATGTATCAACTAATCTATTTAAGTTCTCATCAGGGCGGGCACTTCCATTTAGGCGACCTAGGTGGTTGCCTAGTCCTTCACTCGCTCCAGGACCCGCCACCAAAGTGCCCCGAAGACCAGGAGCGCGGAAGGACCCCCCCGCCGCAGAATTGCCGACGACGACCGGGAGTGCGGAAGGACCCCCGCCTAGGGCGCCAAAAACCCTGGTGCCGCTCCTGGTTCTCATATAGCACCCATGTATCTGAGCATTTCCCCAAATTATAGCATGTATTTAAGATTATAGTCTTCTCTCTTTCCCACTCCCCGCAGCAGGGAGTGGATATTATGCACAAAGCTTATACAAGTGTAAGTCCTAATATGCGCTCTAGCTTGGTCTTTCTCATTTATAAACTTATTTAGGATACCACAATGCTCTCCTGAAATAGAACCCAATTTTGCAACTGTTATGTACATAGTAATCCTCACTTACCATAGTAGTTCCTTTGACTTCAGTTCAAATTTCATAGTAATCAGAAAGAGCCAAGCAGAAGTCTTCCATTTTTCGTATATCATAAATGTTCTCCTGCTAACTGCTCATTCTTCAAATGTAGATGACTAAATGGCAACATGGAAATTGCTGCCAAACTCACTTTTTTCTGTTTCTTGTAAGTCTTATTTTGTTCAGGATGATTCACTGTTTCACAATAAGCAGCAGGTTGCATAATTTTGGGTACCTGATCTGTATGCTCATGTTACTGAAAAGTCATCTTTATACATGGAGGCTGTACTACTTTATTATCTAGTGGTGAGAAATGGGGACTGGCACCCTGAGTTCTGCTTCTGACTCTGCCCAGACCCCATGCTTTACCTTGGGACCTAACTAACTAGTGTCTCACTTTTCTCATCCATACTAACAGCCCCACTTACAAAGTGCTTTGAGATCACATATGAAAGCTTCAAGGGAAAAGTAATACATTATTACTGTTGATCTGCTTATACACCATTAGAGGCACATACTTACTAGAAGCAACAGATCATTTATGCTGCTTCAGACACTGAAATAATCTGGTTTCAGGGTAGCAGCCGTGTTAGTCTGTATCCTAAAAAAGAACAGGAGTTTGTAAACTCTTTGGGGTAGAGAGCAGGTATGGCTGGTTTGGGCTTTTTATAGCGTTTAGGATAGTGGGTCTCTGGTTTTGATTGAAACCTCTGGGTGTAAGTAAGTAAATCAATAATAATAATAGTCCCTGTCCATGATGAATACATAGTAATATTCTGCTGGGCCCTGATTTTTAGACACAAAAGAAATGAACACCCAGATTATTTCAAAAAGAACAGGAGTACTTGTGGCACCTTAGAGACTAACAAATTTATTAGAGTATAAGCTTTCGTTGGCTACAACCCACTTCTTCGGATGCAGTGGGTTGTAGCCCACGAAAGCTTATGCTCT